CGACTTAGTGAAAGGTGCTATTCTGGGTGAGTTACATAAAAGACATAAAAATATAAGTGGAAATAATCCCACCCACCCAAGCCCTAACCCGGAACAAACGAAGCCAATGATGATGATGCCGCATTTCTCCCAACAAGGGACCCAAAGCGGCTCACAGCATTAAAATTCACACCATTTAAAAACACAGTCAGTTAAATATCAAAAGACAGATTAAACAAAATGTGGATTAAAATAAAATTAAAAGGTTAAAACATGAAAAAGAGCAAAATTATCTGCTGAAATGGGGTTCAGGGATTTAGTTATAGTTTTTTAAAAGCCTGTCTGAAGAGATGGGTCTTTACCTTTTTTCTTCCTGATCTCCCGAGGGGGAGCGTTCTACCGCCTGGAAGCGGCCACCGAGAAGGCCCTTTCTCTTGTTTCCCCATCAGTTGGGCTTGCGCTGGCCATGGGACCGAGAGGAGGGCCTCCTCGGATGATCTTAATACCAGTCAATGTTTTTATGATTTGACTGTGCCTGGGGTTTTTGAAGAAGAGGAGGAATGTGATGATGATGAACATGTTGAGCTTTCCAGCATGTCAGGCAGGCAGAGAGAGAAAGAGAGATAGGCAACCTTTTCTAACCTGCAGTGGGAGGTACCTGGGCTCGAACCTTCTGCCTGTCGCATGCAGGACACTCAGTGATGCCCCCCCACCTTCCTAAGAGGCGTTGCCTTATTTGCCTCCACATTAGGAGTCTCGTCTGCGGTTTTAGTCCAGGCTTCTCATGCCCAAAATGAAAATCATGCCCCTTGGCAAACAACCTGCAAGGACAGGCTTTTCAGAACAAATCAAGAGTTCAAACAAATGAACCATTAATGACTATGTTTAGCTGTTTGAATCCCCAGTCCTTAAATTGCCTTTTAAAAATTATTTATTTATTTATTTTATTAGATTTCTACCCCGCCCATCTAGACCAAAGGTCTACTCGGGCCAGCAAATTAGAATAATTTTCAATTAGAATAATAACATCTTCAGCTTGGACCAAGAGAATTTCCCTCTCACTCGCTCTCTCTGTCTCTTTCTGTCTGTTTCTCTCTCGTGGTTATGGGCCATCCAATCGTCATACGGTGCTCGTACGGATAAATAATCTCCAAACTCTCCCGTCCTCAACTGCCCTGCTCAGCTCCTGTAATCTCAAACTTGTGGCCTTCTTTAGGGAATCAATCCATCTCACGTCTGGTCCTCCTCATTTCCTGCTGCCTTCAACTTTTCCTGCCATTCTTGTTCCTGAAAGACAAGGTTGAAGGAAGCAGGAAAAAAAAAAGGAAGATGGCTGTGCTAAAGTGGTGTGTGTGGGGGCGCTACTTAGTTAGTTTGCAAATGCTTTTAGCAGAAATAATTAAGTCTGTTATCTTCTCAAATCATTGGTCTGATTGGTTAGGAGCCTCGTTTTAATGGATCATTTAAAACTGTTTACTTTTAAGCAATGAATGGCTAAGGCTTTACAACACTAAGTTGTTGTTGTTTTTTTAAAAATTATTTATTTATTTATTTTATTAGATTTCTACCCCGCCCATCTAGACCAAAGGTCTACTCGGGCCAGCAAATTAGAATAATTTTCAATTAGAATAATAACATCTTCAGCTTGGACCAAGAGAATTTCCCTCTCACTCGCTCTCTCTGTCTCTTTCTGTCTGTTTCTCTCTCGTGGTTATGGGCCATCCAATCGTCATACGGTGCTCGTACGGATAAATAATCTCCAAACTCTCCCGTCCTCAACTGCCCTGCTCAGCTCCTGTAATCTCAAACTTGTGGCCTTCTTTAGGGAATCAATCCATCTCACGTCTGGTCCTCCTCATTTCCTGCTGCCTTCAACTTTTCCTGCCATTCTTGTTCCTGAAAGACAAGGTTGAAGGAAGCAGGAAAAAAAAAAGGAAGATCACATAGGAAATAGGTTGACTCCCTAAAGGAATGTAAGGAATTGGAATCAAGCGATTGGAAGCCCCATCTCCGTGGCGTCTTCCTTCCTCTGCTCACATTCCTTTCTGATTTTTTTCTTAGGTTTTCCCTCCGGTGCCCGTGAAGCCCGATTATGCCTACCATGCCAGGATCAAGAACCGAGAGTCACTGTTGCCCTTGATGCAGAAACCCTGCCCGGCTTACATAGCCCCCGTGAAAGGCAAGGACCAGAGTTACTGGCAAGAGGCTTTCTTGGGGGGGGGGTAGGTGTGAGTGGCTGCCCAGCCAACTCCCTTCTGCTCTTTGGTTTTACACGGCCGCGTTTCCATTAAAAAACTCTTAGTCGTCTTTCTTGCCTTGATTTTTCTCGACCACTATGAGAAGTAACCATGAGGGTAGAGCCGCCGAGCTTAGTCCTGTTGCAGCAAAACCAACACGGAATCTTGGGACACTTTCAAGACGGATATAATCCCTCTGTCTATTGTTCCAAGACAGAAATTAAAACAAACAAACAAGGGGAGATGTGATAAAGGCGTATTAAAAATTAGGGATGGAAGTGGAAAAAGAGAAGCTCCTGTCTCGGTTGTAGCAGCTGAAATCATACAGTAGCTTTGGAAGGTCGAGCCGTCGGGGTAGATCGAAAGGAGAGGCCACTTACTCAGCAAGGAGCCAGAGCAGTGGTCCCAAAAAGGGATTTACTAGCCAGGATTTCTGGGCATTGTAGTCTACGAACATCTGGGGACCCAAAGTCAGGAATCACTGGGTTGGAGGAATTTATGAGAGGGCATTTCTCTGATTAGCTGTGAGGATTGAGGGGGGGGAGTCGTGAGCAAGAGAATGCTCTTGTCCTTACTCCCTTCTTTCCGTGAGACCCTCTGGTTGACCCCTCTGTGAAGGGTGTGCTGAATTGGTTGGACTTTGGTTTTGAAACAGCAGGACGTTTCTTCTGCTCTGGACTATCCGTCTGACCGCTTCGTGGCTTATTCTGTTTCTTCTTGTTCCTTCCCCCTTCTCTCGCTCGCTCCAGTGCTCTGCCACATGGAGGGAAGTGGCCAGTGGCCCCAGGACCGGGAAGCCATCCGACGCATCAAAGCGGCGTTCCAGCTGCAGCTGGCAGAGCTGCTGCGCAAGCAGCACCGTCTCCTGTGTCGGCCCGCCCCCACCCACACAGATGTGTATAAGGTAACAGGCGCTCTCTGTGACTGTGCCTACCCCTGTGTGTGGAGCATGGAGAAAGCTATTTGTTTGTTTGTTTGTTTGTTTGTTTGTTTGTTCATCTTATATGCCGTCCACACTACCCAAAGGTCTCTGGGTGGCTTACAACAATTAAAATACAATAAAAAGATAAAACAATTAAAATACAATTAAAATGTGTACTGTAAAAATTCCT